CCAATTGACATATTGGATAAGAAGACGAAAAGACTAAGAAACAAAAGTATACCATTGGTATTAGTTAAGTGAAAATTCCACAAGGGCGCAGAAATGATGAGGGAACCAGAAGAAGAGATGAAGGCTAAATATCCTCAGTTGTTTTAACGAGTTTTAATTCCGAGGACGGAATTTCTTGAAGGAGGGGAGAGTTGTAAAACCCAAAAATTTGTGGAATAAATAATTTATCTTTATTCTTATTTTATTTTAAGAATATATATATATATATATTAAATAAAAATAGAAGGTTGAAATAAGTTTATAAAAGTCGGACCAAAAGTGAAGGAAGAAGTCAAGACATGGGTAAAAATTGTCAATTCGTGGTAGTTAAGGGACTGGGTCGTGTGTAAGTAGCAGAAGGACCTGTTTTGTAAATAGGCAACAGACCTGCAACAGAGGGGCCTGCTGTCAACGTTTGGGAGAGGCAGAAGAGGAACAGGCGGTGCCTGGTCCAAAAGGGGAAACTGTGACCTGCCGGTTGCAGGCTGTGGAGAAGCAGTTTCACAGCCTAAAACTCGGGATTCGGCCGATTTGGTCAACTAATAGGCCAAATCATTTGAGTATAAATTATGGACACTGGTTTAGGATCACCATTCATTTGAAAAGAAGAAGGAAATCGTTGAGCTTGAGAGAGAAAAACCGGAGTTCAAGACCAGGCAAGAACCCCCTGTTTTCCCGTCGCTTAGAGGTAAATGCTCAACCAAAATTTATGTTGTTACAATGTTTAGTTGTACCTTTGACCCTATGTATAACTCTATGAAGGCCCACGTCCAAACTTCGTGTTTTAGAGTTCGAATTCAAAGTTTAGATTTCATTTGGTGAATACGCTGTATCGCGTTCTGTTTAGAAATCACTTTAAAGAAAGTTATACAGAAGCTCTGCATGAGTGCTCTGTATCAAGTTATATGGTACAGAAGTTCTACATGGGAGTTTTGTATCAAGTTATAGTAGCCAGAAGCTCTATATGAGAGCTCTGTATCAAGTTGTGTTAGACAGAAGCTCTGGAAGAGAGACCAGAGGGGCTCTGGTCCTTAAGGATGATTTATTTCCTAAGTATGGTTGCAACCAGAGGATTCTTGTATTTGATTTGGAGGATGAGCAAGTTTTTACTATATATGTTAAATTGGATTAAAGGTTTTGTGTCTTTTGATAAGAGCTTCTATGTCAAAATCATGCTTTTGAAGTTTTAAGAAAAGGGAGTTTTATACTTAGAATCTTTTTATGAAAAACAGACCAGAGGAGCTCTGGTTGAGTTTAACGTTGAACCAGAGGGGCTCTGGTTGGTCATGTCTTTGGAACCAGAAGCTCTGGTTAGTAGAACCAGAGGCTCTGGTCGAACATGAACTTTTTATAATTGCTCGTTTTATGAAAAAGGCTATCTTAATGATTGAGAGTTTATCTAAAGATAATTTATATGGGTTAAGGTTTGGTTAGTACAACCAGAGGCTCTGGTCGTAAAGACCAGAAGTTCTGGAAGAGAGACCAGAGAGGCTCTGGTCTTAGATTTTGAAATATATTCTAAGTATGGGTTGGTTCAACCAGAGGCTCTGGTCGTGAA